AGATGGGATGGGCATGGAGATGGGGAGATGGGCATGGGGACATGGGGAGATGGGATGGGCATGGGGAGATGGGCATGGGGACATGGGGCAGGCATGGGGACGTGGAGATGGGGAGATGGGATGGGCATGGAGATGGGCATGGGGACATGGGGACGTGGAGATGGGGACATGGGGAGATGGGGAGATGGGATGGGGATGGAGATGGGGAGATGGACATGGGGACATGGGGCGGGCATGGAGAGATGGAGAGGGCATGGGGACGTGGAGATGGGATGGGCATGAGGGCATGGGGATGTGGAGATGGGGACATGGAGATGGGGACATGGGGTGCGCATGGGGACGTGGGCATTGGGAGAAGGGATGGGCATGGAGATGGGGAGGTGGGCATGGGGAGATGGGGACAGAGGGATATGGGGACACAAGGCGGACATTGGGAACATGGGATGGGCATGGGGACATGGAGATGTCATGCCATCCCATCCCATCCCCATCCCCATCCCCATCTCCATCTCCATCCCCATCTCCATCTCCCCATCTCCACCCCCACCTCATCTCCACCTCCACCCCCATCTCCATCCCCACCTCCATCTCCATCCCCATCTCCATCCATATCCCCATCTCTATCCAATCCCCATCTCCTCCCCATCTCCATCTCCATCCCCATCCCATCTTCATCTCCACCTCCACCTCCATCTCCATCCCCATCTCCATCTCCACCCCCATCCCATCTCCATCCCCATCTCCATCTCCATCTCCATCCCCATCCCCATCTCCATCCCATCCCCATCTCCATCTCCATCTCCATCTCCATCCCCATCCCAATCTCCATCTCCATCCCCATCATCTCCATCCCCATCTCCATCCCCATCCCAATCTCCATCATCTCCTCCCCACCCCCTCCCTCACCGGGGATGGAGGTGCCGAGGGCCACGAAGACGACGGCGTTGACCGAGTCCTTGAGGCCCACGGTGCAGCCGAAGTGGGCGGCCAGGTCCCCGATGAGGGCGGTGAGGATGCCGATGAGGAGGATGGAGACGCCGAAGCAGGCCCAGCCGTTGCAGTACTCGGTGGGGGGGACGCAGGCGAAGAGGACCTTCCAGAAGACCGTCAGGAAGTGCATGACGTAGTCGAAGCAGGAGGGCAGCCGCTCCTCACGCCCGTCCTCCTCCTCCTCCTCCTCGCCTGCCGGGGAAGGGTCACCCTCAGCGCCCACGGCGGGTGGCCACGGGGAGGGGGGTTGTCCCCAGGGTGGTGGCCACCAGGGCACTTGGCCCAAGGTGCATGGTGGTCTCAGGGTGGTGGTGGCCACAAGGTGGTGGTGGTCACAGGGTGGTAGCTACGAGGTGGTGGTAGCCACAAGGTGTATGGTCTCAGGGTGGGTGATGGTGGCCACAAGGTGGTGGTGGCCATGGAGGAGTGGCCACAAGGTGGTGGCCCCAAGGGTGTATGGTCTCAGGGTGGTGGCCACAGGGTAGTGGTGGCCACAAGGTGGTGGTGGCCACAGGGTGGTGGCCCCAAGGGTGTATGGTCTCAGGGTGGTGGCCCCCAGGGTGCTTGGCCCCAGGGTGCATGGTCTCAGGGTGGTGGCCACAGGGTGGTGGCCCAAGGATGGTGGCCATAGGGTCATGGCCAGAAGGTGGTGGCCCAAGGATGGTGACCACAAGGTGGATGGTCCCAGGGTGGTGGCCACAGGGTGGTGGCCCCAAGGGTGTATGGTCTCAGGGTGGTGGCCACAGGGAGGGGGCCCAAGGCTGGTGGCCATAGGGTCATGGCCAGAAGGTGGTGGCCCAAGGATGGTGGCCATAGGGTCATGGCCAGAAGGTGGTGGCCCAAGGATGGTGACCACAAGGTGGATGGTCCCAGGGTGGTGGCCACAGGGTGGATGGTCCCAGGGTGGTGGCCCTAGGATGGTGGCCACAAGGTGGTGGCCAGAATGTGGTGGCCCAAGGATGGTGGCCACAAAGTGGATGGTCCCAGGGTGGTGGCCACAAAGTGGTGGCCCTAGGATGGTGGCCATAGGGTCATGGCCAGAAGGTGGTGGCCCAAGGATGGTGACCACAAGGTGGACGGTCCCAGGGTGGTGGCCACAGGGTGGTGGCCCCAGGGCTGGAGACCCACCTGCGCTGACGGTGATGGCTTCCAGGAACTGCTCCCTCCAGGAGTGCGTCCCGATGACCATGGCCAAGTTGGTCTTCTTGATCAGCTTGTCCACCGTGTTCTGTGGGGACATGGCCGTGTTCCCCGTGTCCCCCACCACCCACACACCGTGTCCCCGTGTCCCCTGACCTCCCCGTCCCCCCACCGGTCACCTTGAAGTCGTAGGACTCCTCGATGATGACCTCCAACTTGCAGTTCTCCCCCAGGATGGGTTTGCCCATCTCGGCGATGCGTCGAGCCTCCTCCTCCTCCGCCGAGAGCTTCCGGTCACCGTCTGCTGCGGGGACACGGCGGGGGGACACGGCGTGGGGACACCACATGGAGACACGGACCGGGGACACGGTGGGGGGACATCAGGTGGAGACATGGCGTGGGGACCTGGCATGGGGACACCACATGGAGACACGGCACAGGGACATGGTGGGGGGACACCACATGGGGACACCACCTGGAGACATGGCGTGGGGACACCACATGGAGACACGGCACAGGGACATGGTGGGGGGACACCACATGGGGACACCACCTGGAGACATGGTGTGGGGACACCATGTGGGGACACAGTGGGGGGAGAACACATGGGGACAGATTGTGGGGACCTGGCATGGGGACACCACGTGGGGACACACCACGTGGGGACATGGCATGGGGACATGGTGGGGGGACACCACGTGGGGACACCACACGGAGACAAGGTGTGGGGACATGGCACGGGGGACACGGTGGAGAGACAACATGTGGGGACACATCGTGGGGCCCTGGCATGGGGACACCACATGGAGGCACGTCATGAGGACACCACGTGGGGTCATGGTGTGGGGACACCACGTGGGGACACGATGTGGGGACACAACATGGAGACACGATGTGGGGACACCACGGTGGGGACCGGGATGTGGGGACACGGCCCGGCCACGAGGACGTGACACGGGGGTGACCGTAGGTGACACGGGGACGTGGCGCAGGACATGGGGACAGCAGGACCCGACCCCCCACCAGCGCTGAACCCAATGATGATGATGACGACGATGACGATGACGACGATGATGATGATGATGATGACAATGATGATGATGACGACGATGGCTCCTACCTTGGGTGAGCAGAAGGGCTGTGGAGAGAGGAAGAGGAAGGTGGGGAGATGCCACCAGGGCTCAGCCCCACTCCAAACCCGATGCCCCACCCTGGCCACGCCCCCCCTCGACCACGCCCCCCTTGACCACCCCCCCCCCGGCCACGCCCGTACCCGAGATGCCCCGTTTGAGCCACCGTGGCTGCCCCAGCTCGATGAAGAAGTTGTCCTTCTTCTCGTACTCCTCGTCGTCCACGATCTTCACCTGCAGCGTCTTCCTGGGGACGGGGGGACCAAGGGGGGGACACGGCGCCGTCACCGTCACCCCCCCAGGACCCACGATGCCCCACGGGGATGGAGGGGGGAGGAGGGGGGGCAGGAACCAGCCACGGGGGCCACCTTCTGCCCCGTGGGACCACCTCTGCTGGGGGTTGTCCCCATGGGGGTAGAGTGTCCCCGGGGTGGGGTGGCAATGGCCAAGCAGAGCCCTCTCCCATCCACCCATCTCTCTGTCCATCTGTCCATCCATCCCTCCATCTCCATCTCTCCATCCATCCATCTCTTCATCTACATCCCTCCATCCCCATCTCTTCATCTCCATCTCTTCATCCCTCCACCCATCCATCCATCCGTCTCTCCATCCCTCCATCTCTATCTCTCCATCTCCATCTCTCCATCTCTTCGTCTCCATCCATCTCTTCATCCCCATCTCTCCATCCATCCATCCATCCATCCATCCATCCATCTCTCCATCTCCATCTCTTCATCTCCATCTCCTCATCTCCATCTCTCCATCCATCCCTCCATCCATATCTTCATCTCCATCCCTCCATCCATCTCTTCATCTCTCCATTCCTCCATGTCCATCCCTCCATCCATCTCTTCATCTCCTTCTCTCCATCCATCCCTCCATCTCCATCCCTCCATCTCTTCATCTCCATCTCTCCATCCATCCATCCCCATCTCTTCATCTCCATCCCTCCATCCATCCCTTCATCTCCATCTCTCCAT